AAAAAAAAACAAAAAAATCTGTTTTGTTAAATTGTGTTTTGATTATGCTTCAGTATCTTAGTTCACGAAGGAAGGTCATTTGTAAAGAAGGGGGGAAAGGAGGAAACCAAGCCTTTACCTAACTGCTGCTCCTGACCTTGAAAATGTTCACTTTTCTGTACTATTTTTTAGCCTGGTGGCTCTTTATTCATTACTACAATCAACAAAACACAACTGTCCTATGCTTTGGGAATAGTTTTTGCAGAGCAAATTGCAGGCCTTGTACCAAAAGGTACCCATACATGGGAGAAGTTCGTTTCACCTGAAAAACTAGAGAGCATTCTGGAATCAAGTAAGTGTTAAAGAGAATGTTGTGGGGTTTTTTTCTTTCAGTCTATTATAAAAATAGGATCATACCACTGTGTCCTTATGTGAGTGACTTATTTCATGTGGCATTATGTCCATCCATGTGATACGCTTCATGGGCTGTTGTTCTGTACGGGTGCCTTCGCTTATTCATCTAAACTTTGAAGGGCAGTTAGACTGTCCCAACCTCCCCACGTAACCCACCTTTTTCTTTTGCTGCTGTGGATAATGCTGCATTTGACACAGATATGCAATGTCCTTACTACCTTTTTATATATTTTATGTTTCCTATGAAATTAGGGGAGGGGGGAACCAAACTAGCTGCATTGAGTTATTCCCAACTCATAGTGATCCTACAGGGCAGAGTAGAATAACCCCCTATGGATTTCCAAAGTTGTAGGAGCAAAAAGCCTCATCTTTCTCCTGAGAGCTGGCTGGTGGGTTTGAAACACTGACCCTGTCATTAGTAACCCAAAGTATAACCCACTACTCCACCAGGGATCCTATGTTTCCTATAGTATTCCATATATTATGGTTATTTTGGTGTTTTCCTGGCCCCTCTTGTTTTTAATACTGCTTCTTGAAAATGTACCTCATACAGTGCCTAACTCTGCTTTACACATATTTATACTTGACTTATGTATTGAATTCCTGTTAATTAATAACATCTATCATTTCATTTATTTGGCATTTTGTATTACTAGTGACTAGATCAGCGGTCGGCAAACTGCGGCTCACAAGCCATAAGCACCTCTTTCAGTAGGTACATGTGGCTCTTACGTAAAATTGAACATTTTTAAAGGATATTATTCAGATAATGATGATTTCATTTGCTTGTAAAAATATATTTATGGCTCACAAATAATTTTTAAATTATTGTGAGGACAGAATTGGCTCTTCTGTCTCAAAAGTTTGCTGACCCAGGCACTAGATGCATATATTTCTCATGCTTTTTGCTCATATAACAGTATAGCTGTAAACTTGATTATTTGGGGTAATAATTATCCAAGTCCACACAATGTTATAAGTTCTAACAATTTTTGTGAGTCATCTTATTGAAATAAAAACATAGGAAAAAAATGTTTCAAGTTGCTCTTTAGGGCCAATCACTTGTTGGCAGGTGTTTTCTAGTAATAGCTAACATTTCTTTAAGTTCTTATAAATTGCCAAACACTATACTAAGTACTTCATACACATCAATTCATCTCATTCTAAAGACTGAGGGAGACGTGTTTTATACACAAGGGAAGAATAAATGACCTGTCCTTGGCCACCATCTAATAAATACCAGAACTGGGATTTGAACCCAGCCTTTCTGCTTTGGAATCCATGATTCACTCTAAGTGAAAATAGTTAAAAACTATTTTTACCCATTAAGTTAGGAATCCTTTTTTAATGGGGAGAGTTGCATGGAAGTCTTTTAATATCAAATAAATATTAATATTTGTGTTTGTTTTTTCCCTCAGATGGTCTGTCTGTTCAAACTGTGGCAGGAATGTTCTATAATCCCTTCTCAGGCTACTGGCACTGGAGTCAAAATACCAGCCTTAACTATGCAGCTCACGCTGTAAAGTCCACGGCGCAGGAAACCACAGTGTCTGCAGAGCTTGTTCAAAGTGGCGAGTCAGGCACTCCGAGCTAATGGCCCTACTAGCCCACGTGTATTTAAATAGCTGAAGAATTGAATCATATCTGAGGACTGTTGTGATGCGTAGTAATAGGACTTGACATTGATCTTTTGATTGAGAATCATGAAGTTCAGTAACAATGACTATATCCTTTTGACAGGTGTTTTTGTTTAGCTATCTCTAATTGCTACTTTCAAGGAATTTTTGAAGACTTAATAAAGAAAGTTTCCCCAAGACATTGTGTGTACTAGGTGTGTAAGTTGTTATAAAACTAAACTATTTAAAAAGTGTAGGATATATGTATTTTATTTCATTCTACAGATTATATATTCAAGCATGTATAACCAACTGAAAACACACTACCTTTAAGTCGATTCTGACTCAGAGAACCCATCCTATAGGACAGAGTAAAATAGCCCACAAGCTTTGCCAGGCTCAAAATCCATATGGAAACATTGCCCTTTCTCTTTTCTTCTGAGAAGGCTGATAAAATTGAACTGCTGACTGTACGCTCAGCAGCTGATTGCTTAACCACTGCACCTCCGGCCCCCTTTTGAGTATATGTATACATACAGATACACCATCAACTGGATAAGTGTCATCTATGTTTCCCCTTACCTGATTTCAGCTAAAGTCATACTTTATACTTCTGACAAGAAAAACAAAGAGTTTCAGACCATATATATTTGAGAGGTTAATTTTTTTTCCCTTTAAATCTTTGTTTGTTGGAAAAGTAAATGGGTTAAGTCTGGGTTTGGATTCAAATAATAAAATCAAATTCAGGTTTTAGTGAATAGTTTCATAAATGTTTTATGGTTTGTTTTTACTTTCTGTTTTTAAATAGAGAAGACTTTTTAAACTTAAAAACTCGGTTGTGAAAATTTCCATTGTCACCTAATATTTTTATAATTAAAGAGCCATATACCCTATATACTGTATAAGCTGACCCAAAGTATAAGCTGACCCAAGTATAAGCTGACCCAAATATCAGCGGAGGCACCTAATTTTACCACAGAACTGCATTAAAAATGTGCTGAAAAACTTGGCTTATACATGGTATATATGGTAATTGGTGGCTCTTTTTTTTTTAAGGATTTTTAAAATATCAAAATTTTTGTTTATTATTAGCCAAAGGTTTAATAGATTTTTAAAAAACATTTCTATTGGCACGTAATTTACATATCATAAAATCGAATAGTTCAACCATTCAAACATATTAAGGGGGAATTGTACAATCGCCACCATATCCATCCTAGAGCATTCCCATCATGGCTCTTAAAGTATGTGAGTTCACTAGCTTTTTCTGAAAGTCTAGATGTTGTGTGTAAGGACACATGTACAGGAGTATATGTGACAAACAGTTATTGAAACATACAACCCATCTAGAAGGTCAGTTCCTACTTTCTACCCTTTTTCATTTTTGTTTTATGTGTTGATTTGTCAATGTTTGTTGAATCTGAGTTTAAACCTTAAAAGCAAAACTGAAAAACTAGGGGGAAATTTTTTTTAATCGTTTTATTAGGGGCTCATACAACTCTTATCACAATCCATACATA